AGTTTGTAGGTAGCTTCACTGGAAACCTTCACGAGACAAAACTCGTCCACTAGGAATCACCTAGGGGTTTAACGGCTTGTTGCATATGCTAAATGCAATCGTGATATCTACGAAAGTGATTTTATTTTGTTCTATTGTTATTTATTACTAGGGACTATTAATGTTTAGGTTGGGGAGTGTTGTCCAAATTTGATATTGACAATTTACGTGTAAGTATATACGATCAACAAGTAATAAAGTGATAAGTAGGGTATCGTTTCCACGGAGAATTATTGCTAATAATATCCAAGTACTAACTTTATATCAATTCAATTTTATTTAAACAATTGAAATTGAACTATGGAATGACTAAATTAAAACTAAATCTAAACTTAACAATCAAGGGTTAAATTTACCAGATAAAAGAACTTAAGATTACAACTTTCCCTAATGCTTCGTATAAATCTTTTTAACTCTCTTTCTAGTAAATTGATCAAAATAAGTTATTCACTGAAAACTCAAAGTTATTTATCAAACCTCTTCCGATAGTTAGATAAAATTATCTCTCCTAATTAAATTACTATATTCCTATGCAAAATAAGTTGGAATAGATTCATTAAGTTCAAACTCTCATAAAAGTTACACACGGCATATAAGTATATTCCTATCCATTACACAAACCCAGCAATTCATTCCTAAGAAGAATTAACCAGACGTATGTCATCATATTCAGATCTAAACCTAGAATTCATCTCTCAATTTTATCTAGGTTATCAAATTAATTGTTGGCCACACAATCATACATCAATCACAAAATATGACAAACAACTCATATAAGAGCAATAAGAACTAGAAACGAGAGTAGATTAATTTAACTAGACTTAGGTTTCTTTGCAATCTTAATAAAGATTTAGTTCATAATTTAACTGAAAGACATCATTCTAAAATTAAACAACATCTTAGAAAATCAAGAAGTAAAGGCAAGAGAAAAGAATGAAAACTTAGGTGCAATCTTTAATCCTTCTCTAGCCTTTAAGTCCAATCTTCTTCGTGTCGATTCCTTTGATTCTTGTCTTCAATTTTCTTCCAATTTGGTCTTTCTCTAATGTTTTCAGCCCCCAAAAGTCAGAATCAATCAGCCACACACAAACCCTAGCATATATGTAGCTTTAGAGTCCAATTTCGGGTCAAAACAAGTCAAAATTTGCGTCATGGACCAACACAAGCGCCTAGGCGCTAGAAATGGTGCCTAGGCATGCCCCCCCTGCAGGCCTGCTCCGGACCAGTTTTTGTCGAATCATCATAACTTTTGATACATTAGCCTGATTGAGCTGAAATTTTGCAACAAGATATAAGACATCTAGATCTACAACTTTCATGTTTTACATATTGTCAGATTCGAAGTGGGTCATGTTTAAAAATTCAGAAAATCAAGGTACTGGTACAAAATAGTGTGGGTGTTGATGCCTATGTTACCAAACACCAATACCTCCTTGATTGCTTTCACTTTTTAGCCTCCAAATCCTCATGGAATGTGTTCATCTCTTCACCACTGATCCACACTTAGTTGCAAGGCTCTAAAATCCATTATTTACGCTATAATTACTCCATTACAATGCCCTTTAGCTTCCTCTTTAAAAATCTAACACTTAGGCTCCAATTTTGACCTTGTTTCCTCCCAATTGATCATGATTTCTTCCAAATGATCATCCCTACAAAATAACATCAAAACACACAAAACAAATAAAAATGAACATAAAATATTTGAAAACTTACAATTTCATTAACCCGAAAGTATTCAATTCGTAGATATAAAACTCACTCATCAGGGGATATGATTAACCCTAATTAATGCATAATTTAATTAAGTTAATAGGTCAATTTTGTTAGTTAAACAAAGTTAAACTAGTTAAAATAAGTCAAATTAGGGTTAGTGTGTGAATAAAGGATAATGCATTAATTGTTGTTCTTTTTAGGGTTTTGTGCGTCATAACTACAAACTACTGGGGAGCCAATTGCATTAAAGCTACAAACTACTAGGGTGCCCATTATCAAAACTCAAAACAAAGGGGGATCAAAGAATTCAAGGCCACCAAACAAGACTTTCATGTAATTCAAAGTCACAAAACAAGACTTTCATATAATTCAAGGGCACCAAACAAGACTTTCATGTAATGCAAAGCGACCTAACAAGACTTTCACCCTCCCTTATTGCCTATAAATACCACCCCTTAGAACTTGTAAAGCATTCATCTTTTGGTAGTGGAAAATCCTCCAAAAGTATTATTGCTTATTGTTTTCTTTAAGTATTTCTTTCTTTTATTGTATTATTGCTTTCTTTTAATTTTTTGCTTTCGTTTACTTTAATTATTGCTTTCTTTTATTGTGTTATTGCTTTCTTTTACTTCCATTGCTTGAGCTTCCTTCTTCCCTTAGAGGAGTAAAACTCTTCCACTTTTCTAAAGCTTTACCCAGGCCGTTAAGGGTGAAACATGATTCAACCATTCTTTGTCGAAGATCGGCTCCTTGTGTAAAGTGTTTTACCTTGTAACTCCTCTACTTAGAGGGACGAGCATCACTCATTTTTCTAGCTTTAACAAAGCCATGAAGAGTGAGTAGTTTCTCATCCAATCTTTAGTAAGAGGTGATTATCCAGAATTTATATTTATGCATTTCGTTTATGCTTAGCTCTAGTCTTTATTTCTTCATAATGTCTTCTCATCATATTGTTGTCGATATTTTAAGCATGAATAACTAAATCTCTTAGTTGGCAAAACCAAGGGGAACCTCCACTTGGGTATACCATTTTCAACTCATTCTCTTCCCTTCTTTCAGAGTTTAATGGTTCAGTTTGACTGGGTTGAGGGTGGATAACTTGGTGAGTCTTTGATATTCCGTGGGCGTAGTCACGGTTTATGCTTAGATACTCACCAATCTTATCCCTAGCTTCCCGCAAAATCAATTGTTCATTCACGCTCTATTGGGGAGGGTTTCGAGTTGAGACGGTATTCCTATTGGAGTGACCTCTTGGATTTGCCAACATTTGTTTCTCATTTTACTAGCATCAAAATAATTTCCAACAATCAAAGATTTTACACTTTTTTCTCCCAAAATCACCTTCCCCTTTGTTTACTTCCTTCCCCGTGGAAACAACCTTGGAATACCACCAAGTAAAACACGATCCGTGAAAGTTTCCTTATGCTTGGGGAGTATTTTTGTTCTCACACACACACATTTGACATTTCATTCATCCCCCATTTCGTTTCCCTTTCTTTTGACCTCATCCCAAGGAGAGTGACGCTCCCCTTCATCCATATACTATACATGGTAAAAGGTGATGTTTAGAGGTTATGAAACAACAAGGAATTTTTTCAAGCAACCACACAGTGTCTTATGCTGAACTTTTTTCACCTACTCTCAATGGGCAGTTTGATCTTTTGTGTGTATGTGGTTGTAAGTGGAACTATGTAATCTTGTTGATAATGATCGCAAGGATTCATCTTTAAAGGATTGGGTTTGAGAGGCTATCTCAATTTTACGAAATTAAGCAGATTTTGTTTTTTTTGACTATGAACGCTTTCTTGTAGTCCAGTGGTATCATTTGTCTCTATTTTTTTTCGGCAACCTAGCATTTTCCCTGGGATATTCGAATCCTTGACTTAAGACTTGTTAAAACACTTAAAAAGTGGTTTGTACTACCACTAGACTAAACATTTGGGATTGTAGTATCATCTGTCATCTAGAAGGGTAGTTGGTGGTAGGTTTGAGACTATTAGGATGCCCGATTAATTATTGGGTTGGGAAAAAAATACCAAAACAACAAATAGTGGAAAGGATAAACTCACTGGTGGTGAACTGGAGTCGATTGGACTGGGGAAAGAGAGAGAGACAGGGAAACTCGTTGCCGGTGGACTAGACTGTAGTCGACTGGACTGGACTGGATTCCTGGAAGTTGGACTCAGTTGGTGGTGGAGGCTGTGAATATTGCTACTGCCTGGTCTGAAAATTGATTAAGGCACCACCAAAAAAGTGAACCCCGTTGTTGATTGCTTCTGCTTGTTGATCGCCTACTGCTTGCTGCTCACTGGTGGATGCTGGACTGGAGTGACAGAGTCAATCGTCGGTGGTGGAGGCTGAGCTTAGACGTTGGTGGCGGAGGTGGAGGCTATGCACAGTGCTTCAGTCGCTGGTGTTTGGTTTGGTTTGGTCTGGTGGATCAATTTAGGGCAACGCCGCAAAACAAAAGGGGGAAATAAAAATACACAAAATGGGCAAAGGATGTAAAAAATCTCTGATTATTTATGTTAAAAAATTATTAGCGACGTATTCTTAAACATGTCGGGAAAATTTCATTAGATTATTATTTTTTAACTTTTTTATTTATGAAAAAATTATTAAACGTAGCGAAAAATTAATTCAATTATTATTTTGTAAATTTTTTATTTACGAACAAAATTATTGGCGACGCCTTTTTGAAAATGTCGCGAAAATATACCTAAATTATTGTTTTTTAAATTTTTTATTTACGTAAAATTTTATTTGCGCAAAAAATAATTAAATTGTTAAAGTGACATTATCCTAATTTTTTGCAAAAGTGTCATTATGCTAATGCTTTTATTTTTTGGAAAAATATATCTTCTGTTATAATAAAAATGGAAATGTAATTCTTCAAAAAAAAGAAAAATAGTGAAAATGAGTGAGATTAGTTGGAACTGGGAGGTCAAACTCGGCCCCACAGCAAGAACCCAACCTTATCCCCGTTTCGCTTCTCTCTTTCAATCCTTTATTCTTCTTCTTCTCAGATATCCCTCTCTAAGGAACCCACCAGAAATGATTTTCAGTACATTACTTTGATTAAAAATGTCAGCTTCTTCTCTCTCAAATTGTTAATTAAGTTGTTATTTTTTAAAGTTTTTGTTTAAGTAAAAACGTTATTGGCGACGGACGTTTTTTAAAAAACGTCATGAAAAATTAATTAAAATGTTTTTTTAAATCTTTTATTTACATAAAAAGTTTGAGAGCTACCGCCATATATCAAGCTCATAGACGTAATTCTCTTCTTCTTCTTCTTGCTCATAGTTGTGGTAGCTCCACTCTTTGACACCCAGAGTTGCCTCCCTCAAAACCTCTACCCGAATTATCTCGTCGACCTCAACATCTGGTACAGCCGCGAGTATGGCGATTACCTGATCTCTGAGGAGCCCAACTTCTTCGTCGGCCTTGTCTGGCTCGAGCTTCTCTTCTTGTGGCCTCTTTCCATCACCAATCTCTATTGCATTGTCGCCGGAAAGTCTTGGCTTAGAACCACCAGCTTGATCTATGGTGTTTCCATTTCCACTTCCATGGTGATTTCTATATATCTCTTCCTTTAATTTTTTTTATTAATTATTTCTCTTGAATCTTCTTTCTACTTTTTCTTACCATGATGCCCTGTTTGATTATAAGCCAAAAATTGGTGTTAATTTGAATCCAGGTTTGCGTGGGTTTATTGAGATCCATGAATTAGGACATTCAATTGCCCGAATATATGTAACAATATTTTTCCAAAAAACGTCACGAAAAATTAATTAAATGGTCATATATTAATTTTTTTATTTAAGTAAAAAGTTTATTGGCGACGTTTCTCAAAAACGTCGCCAAAAATTAATTAAATTGTTATATTTTAAAGTTTTTATTTGAGTAAAAAACTTATTGGCGACATTTTTTCAAAACGTCGTGAAACATTAATTAAAATTTTATTTTTAATTAATTTGCAAATTCCCGCCATTTCTCCCGCCAAAAAATAATTAGGAGAGAATCGATTTTTCGCGACGTTTTATAAAAAACGTAGCCCAAAATGCCAAAATAGAAATCTTTTATTTACGTAAAAAGTTTATTGGCAACGTTTTCGTTTTTTGAAAATGTCACAACAAATTAATTAAATTGTTATTTTTAAAATTTTTTATTTACGGAAGCGTTTCTTGGCGATGTTTTCAAAAAAAAGGAGCTGATTGTTATTTCTTAAATTTTTTATTTACGAAGTTTACTATTTGCGACGTTTTCTAAATACGTCGAGAAAAAAGAAATAGATTGTTATTTTTAAATTTTTTTATTTACGAAGTTTACTATTAGCGACGTGTTTGACAAATGTCACGAAAATAATTAGATTTTTTATTTGCCGAAAAGTTTATTTGCGACGTTTTTTCAAAATTGTCACTAACAATAATTAAATTTGTCATTTCCCGCAATTACTCCCGCCAAAAGAATGAGAGACTGACCTTTTCGCGACATTTGCAAAAGAAGTCGCAAAAAATGTCAAAAATTGAAAATTAGACTTTATTTTACTTTAAATTTTAGATTACTTATTTTGGGGACGATATAAAACTATTCGCGACGAAAAATACTTGTCGTAAACAATTGCCAATTCCCGCTATTTCTCCTGCCAAAAACAATAAAACGTGCAAAATGTCGCCAAAAATATTACCAAAATAGAAATTTGCGACAAAAATATAAAAGTGTCGCTAATCCTAAACTTTTTGCGACAAATTTAAAATCATTGCAAAAAAAAAATGTCGCAAAAAATGCTTTGTGTTGTAGTGTCTGCTCGTGATTCTTTAACTGCCGCGAACCATAAGTTACCACCCTCTTGGACTGCATCAAAACACATTCAAATCCGTCCTTTGAGGCATCACAATAAACCGTGTATCCCTGTTCCCTTTTCGGGACTATCAAAATAGGAGCAGAAGTAAGTCTCCACTTCAACTCCTGGAATGCCTTCTCACACGCTTCATTCCACTCAAACTTGACCTCTTTCCGGGTCAACTTGGTCATAGGAGCAGCTAATCTAGAGAAGTCCTCGATGAATCTCTGGTAATATCCTACCAATCCCAAGAAACTGCGTATCTCGAAGACTGACTTTAGTCTAATTCATAACTGCTTCAACCTTTTATGGGTCCACGGATACACCCGAAGCCGACACTACATGTTCCCAAAATTTCACCTTAGTAAGCCAAAATTCATATTTGCTGAACTTAGCGTAAAACTGATGATCTCTCAACGTCTAGAGAACAACCCTCAAGTGACCCTCATGCTCCTCTTCAGACTTGGAGTATATCAATATGTCGTCAACAAAGACCACGATGAACTGATCAAGGTAGGGTTGAAACACCCTATGCATGAGATCTATGAATGCCGTCGAGGAATTTGTCAATCCGAATGGCATCACTGTGAATTCGAAATGCCCGTACCGCGTTCTGAACGCTGTCTTAGGGATATCCTCCTCCCTAACCCTCAATTGATAGTAACCGGTGCGAAGATCTATTTTGGAGTAGACCCTTGCCCCTCTTAGTTGATCAAACAAATCATCAGTCCTCGACAAAGGGTATCATTCTTGATAGTAACCCGGTTCAACTGTCGATAGTTGATAGTCGATACACAACTGAAGAGTCTTATCTTTCTTCTTGGCAAATAGCACCAGAGCGCCCTAAGGTGAAGTGCTCGGTCTAATGAAGCTCTTGTCCAATAATTCTTGCAACTGGACCTTGAGTTCCTATAATTCTGTTGGTGTCATGCTATGTGGAGTCATAGAAATAGGTGACGTACCGAGATGCAACTCAATGTTGAAGTCTACATCCCTATGTGGAGGTAATCCCGGTAGTTCATCTGAAAAACATCCTCATACTCACATATAACTCGAGGTAGACCCAACTCCTGTCTAGCCTCGTCCTCTAGGGTATGGCTTGCAAGCCAACCCATCAACTGTCCGTGTCATCTTGAGTCATACACGGCTTGGGGTAAAGTATCATACTTTTTCCCCTAAAACTTGAAACATACACCATCAGGTGTGTAAGCAGTGACCCTCTTGCTATCACAATCAATGATGACCCTATGTGCCCGTTAACCAATCTATCCCAAGGATCATATCAAACTCCGACATGTCCATGACCTTAAGGTCAAGAGTGAGTAGAATCCCTAAGATCTCTAACTCACAGTCACGACACATCTGATCAACTCTCACCCTAGCTCCAAGGGGAGAACTCACATATAGTGGCTTTTCCAAGGTCTCAACCTCTAAGCCCAAGTCTTTCACACATGATGCAGCAATAAAAGAATGTGATGCACCAGAATCAAATAATATTGTAGCCCATAAGCAAGAGAGTAAGAATGTACCCTGTATCACTGACGGATCTGTCGGCTCAGTTTGTGGCACCATGGCGTAGACACGCCCCCTAAGTCCCTAAAGTCCCGACCTGTGAGCCCTGGCCCATCTGGCCTGATTGCGGAGTTCCTGCACGAGAAGTAGTAGGGGCTTGTGTAGCTCCCTGAAACTGGTACTGGCTTCCCTGGCCCATAGGGGGGTAGTGAGAAGTGTACTGTGTCTGTAGTTGTCCCACCGACGAATGTGATTGAGATGAACCATAGCCTTGGGATCCCTACCTCTGGGGGCAATCTCATTTCATGTGTCCCAACTGGTGGCAATGGAAACATGTCCTCTGCCTCGCCTGATATTTAGTCCGTTGAGTAACCTCTAGAAGTTCAAGGCACACAATCCTATGGTCTTCATAGGAGGGGCGGATCCTATGGTGGCTGACCATTGGTTCACGCAAGTCGATAAGGTATTGAGGGCTATGGAGATCACCTCCATGCCACGAAGATAACCCTAGCTACGTTTCAGCTAGAGGGAGAATCCCAATTATGGTGGGATTGGGTGAAGGACTCCAAGAACTTGGAGGCTATGACTTGGGTAGAGTTCAAAGAACTCTTCATGGGAAAGTATTTCCCGGCGGCCGCAAGGCATGCAAAGGCCCAAGAGTTTTTAGATTTGTGACAAGGGACAATGTCGGTGATGGAATACATGGCTAAGTTCATGGAATTAGCATATTTCGCCGATGATTATGTGGCCACAGACTTGGCCAAGGTGAGGAAGTTCGAGGATGGTTTAAAATTGTCCATCTGGGGCAAAATTGTGGGGCTTCTTTTGCAAGACTTAGACTCGATGGTCACCATAGCTATGGCCAGTGAGAGGGAGGTAGAGGATGCACGGAACATCCGGGAGGCAGGTGTGAAAAATAAGATGAATAAGGGCCAATCCTCTTCTTCTAGCTCGGAAAAGATGTAGAGAACTTCTACTCCTCAAGGATAGGGCCGTGGTTATCCACTTGCACCAGTCTATGCAATAGTAGCGGCTGTAACACTGGCTTGTGCAATGGTAGCAATCGCAGCACCAATAGCCTCCATAAACGCTTGTTGGTCAAAAGCCGATGGTGGTTGGTTGTTCCATCCACCCCAATGTCCCCTCCCTCTAATTGTCATCTACACACATGTCAGATAGTAATAGAACATTTATTTAGTATCCCATGATAGGGACCAACTTGAAACATTGAGATTTTTCTCCTTGTTTCCCTAGTAGAGTTTATACCACCCACAAGTAAACATTTATACCTTGAACTATCCCGTTTATTTCCTTTCTGACCCCCAAGGTTATGTTTTCTAACCCTAGTGTCTCTTTCCATATACATTTTACCATGTATATCATTCACATAATCACATAGCATGTAATCAAGTAACACAATGTCAGCACATAAGATGAAATGTACAATACATGCAATGGTCTAGACCGAATGCCCATCAAGCCCTAGGTAATCCGTATACCTAGGCTCTAATACCAAGCTATGACGCCCCTAAAATCAGGGGTCCCATTTACCATCTATCAATCCGCAAAAATACCCGTGATTGTCGCATGGTTCGACATCACGTTTATCACATCCCTGTATCACAGATTATATCCCATTCAAGGATCAGTATTTCCTTTAATTCATTTAATCCTATTAAGGTTCAATGAGCCTCAATATACCTCATGTAATGTCCCTTTGTATCATTGGAACTTAAGAAAATAAAGTTCAAAAGGTTAGCAAAACAATTTTAGACTTTTCAGATTTTTGGAAGAGCTACCGGTAGTTGTTTGTTATAACTACCGGTAGAAGTTGTACATGTAAGCTACCGATAGCTTCCTCCTACTGGACAGGTACTACCTGTTAGCTACTGGTAGTTATTGTCTGTTGTACAAGTACTACCTGTTAGCTACTGGTAGTTATTGCCTGCTGAACAAGTACTACCTATTAACTACCGGTAGTTATTGCCTGCTATCGGTAGGTTTTGTCCAAAATTTCATATTTCATCGGTTTTTCATTTCCAATTTATCCCAAACCTTCTCAAATCCATCCCAAAACATGTATAATAACATTTTCTACATGATACATGAACCATACAAGTTCTATCACGTGCCTTTATATAATTTACATGTCAAAACGGCATTTAATCAAAGTTTTTACAAAACTTGTTTCCAAAAGCCACAAACCAGATTTTCTTCACCCTCGAGGCCCTGAAT